AAATTCACCGATGGTGTTAGAATTCAAAATAGCCTTTGAGAATGAAGAAGATACTGATTAGAGGGTGATGGTAATGTCCTTTATTTTGTCCTAAGTGGTGATGCATGTGTATATTCACTTGGGAGAATTCATTAAGCCATGTATTAATGATTTGTACTATTTATATACTAATATATGTATATATTAAGATATATTTATATACTAAGAGATATATATGTATGTATACTAGACTTCAGTTTTTTAAAGTTTTTAAAAACTGACCTATAAGCTTGGAATTCTGGGTAGTGAATACCTTTGGGAAGAAGGGAGGGAAAATGATTATTTGGAAAGGGGCACAGAAGAGATGTGCCCAGGGTGTTGGCAAAGTTCTCTTCCCAACCACAGATGTTCATTTGCAATAATTCATAGAGCTGTGTATTTGTTCTTTGCACTTTCCCATACGTTATAGTAAAAATGTTTTTTAAAAAACAAGAAAAAACATTTGTACACCTATCAGAATGAGGATGTTTAATGTGTGCTTATTCTGGGCAAAAGTCTGCTATATTTAAATGTCTTAATGATTTCGTTGCTTAAAAAACAGCATTTTGTTGTTGTTGTTGTTCAACTCAGGGTCCAATCCATTTCACTGGGGCAAGGACAAGGACCCATTGCTGAAAAAATGATCAAAGATGCTATGAAAACAGGAAACTGGGTATTTTTGCAAAACTGCCATCTTGCTGTTTCTTGGATGTTGGCAATGGAAGAGCTCATTAAAACCTTCACAGACCCAAGTATGTCGAACGCATATCATTTGCATAATAATACCATTTTATGTAGCCTTTCTTGTTAAACTGATTCCTTAACCATTTAACTTAAGGCAAACTGCAATCACTGAAACCCCTCTAAGAACTTGTAGCTTCCAAAGCCTCCCAGCCTCCCTGAAGAACTGGCGCATGCTCTTGTACGGGGCTTCCGCAAGCTGAACCCCATCTCCATATTCTGAAGGTTCATGTTGAACTTCTGCAGCAAGTTACCTTCATACAGGAGAGTCTGGCACATTTGAGTAAAGACATTAGAGACATGTAATGTTCAATACTTCATGGAGATGTTCAGGGCCTTCCCTCTGAAATGGAGGAAATTTTCAACTGAAAAAGAGGCTGGTTACCGGCAGAGCATCTATGCTTATGAAGTGGGTGTGTTTTTTTTTACATTCAGTAAAATTTGAGAACCTACTATGGGCCATGCACTGTTCTGAATGCTTAAGGCAGCAGTTCTCAACCTGTGGGTCGCGACCCCTTTGGTGGTTGAATGACCCTTTCACAGGGGTCGCCTAAGACCATTCTGCATATCAGATATTTACATTATGATTAATAACAGTAGCAACATTACAGTTATGCAGTAGCAACGAAAATAATTTTATGGTTGGGTCACAACATGAGGAACTGTATTTAAAGGGCCAGAAGGTCGAGAACCACTGGCTTAAGGTATAGTGGTGAACAAAACAACCACAGATCTCTGCCCTCATCAAGCTTATATTCTAGTGAGGGGAGACAGACGGTAAATAAACCATCTGATAAGTAATTTATACGTAAAACAGAATGTGGTCAGTGCTTTGGACAAAATTAAAAGGAGAGTAAGGAGGATGAGAAAGGTCAAGATGGAATGCGGGTGGGGCGGAAGGTGGGTAGCAATTTTAAATGGTGTGGCCCGGGAAGACCTCTTAGAGAAGGTGACACTTGATTAAGACTTGAAGAAAGTGAGGGAATCGAAGGAAAAACCTTCCAGGCAGACGGCACAGACAGTGCAGAGACCCAGGGAGGGAAGCCTGGCGCGCTGGAGGAACACCACAATACAAAAAGCAATGCCAAGAGAGTCATCTGTGGGTGGTTCCTGTGCTTTCCTGTGATGCGAATGGTGATTTTTCCAACATTGCTTTGGCCTTTTTTAACCTAGAATGGAACTCATTCTTTCTTAGACTCCCAGTCCTCAGCTCAGAAAGTGTATTCAGGTAACCTCTTGATGTTACCCTTGACGTCTCTCCATATCCCTGCTCCCTTGGTTCCCTTTGCAACTTCTCTGCGGAAGGGAGAAACTCCTTTCTTCTCCATAGGCTTTCTGACCACTCTTGTGCAGTTTGCCTTAAGTTAAATGGTTAAGAAAAAAAAAACACTTCAGAAGCATAAATGCACTGCCGGTAACCAGCCTCTTTTTCAGTTGAAAATTTCCTCCATTTCAGAGGGAAGGCCCTAAACATCTCCATGAAGTATTGAACATTGACATGTCTCTAATGTCTTTACTCAAATGTGCCAGACTCTCCTGTATGAAGATTTCTGGAAAGATTCCCTGAGAACATTTTACAACACACTTATAAGAGATAAACTAGTCTTTAAACAGAGCTTACAGCATTTCTTGCTACCCTATAATAATTACAGCTTATAGAAAAGTGTTACTAAGAATTAAGTGTTTTCCTTTTCATGGTTGTCTTTGTTTTAAACAGATATTACTATCAAGGAGAGTTTCCGGCTTTTTTTAAGTTCCATGCCTAGTAATACATTTCCTGTCACAGTTCTTCAAAATTCTGTCAAGGTAATGGATGCACCTTTACCTTGGTAAAGGTGGTTGGAGTGATGTAAAGTGACTGGCCTCAGAGTGTTCACCCAGTGGGTCCAGGGAGCTCAGGCCCCATGCAGGACCGTGTCAGAGTCTATTCAGCCCAAGTGGGGAGGTGGGAGTCAGTATCTCTTCAGTTTCCCAGGCCACCGCCCATCCTTGCGTGCCCTAGTCTTGTTGGTCATTCAGGTTGTTCCATCTTAACCTCTATCAAAACATGTCAAGGATGCAGGGATGCGAACAGGATCGCTCCCAGCATGAAAGGGATGCTTCAGCGTTGGAGAGACAGGAAGACCTACAGGCTGCTGGATTTTGGAGCTGAAAGTTTCCAATATGTGAGCAGCCTCTGCAGATGTTCACCCAGGCATCCTCCCTCCCTGCCCATGTCATCAAGGCAAAGTGTGGGGTGATGCCATGTGTTGGGATGAACAGAAAAGCGGTGCCAAAGAAGGCTTACGTGCGAATATCAGACGAGCATTTACTGAAATGACACCTTCATATTTTGAAGAAAATATACTTGGACAAAAATGGAGACAAATAATATTTGGCATTTGTTTCTTCCATGCAATTGTTCAGGTACACTCCATTCTGCTTCTTAATAGAAACAAGAACATGTATTTTGTTAAAATAAATAAATAAACAGTAAGAATTAAATGAAAGCTTACACATGGCATCGTGAAATGCCGAGGTCCTGTTCTGTGTCTGAGCCCAGTTAGTTCTAACACAGTTGCTGATTGATCTCTGTGCTTCCCTGGTCTCGGTATCTCACAGCCTTGCCTCCCAGCTCCGTTCTCAACACCTTCACCTGGACGATTGTAAGAATTCTCAATACTAAACAATGTAATTCTTCAGTGATGGATGTGGAACACTTGAATTACAAGCAAATAGAACGTTAAAACAACACGGGGAACATAAATACAATGAAAACACATTAAAAGAGTTGTTACATAACCAGTTTAGTGTTTACCTTTTATGTTCCTATGAATCTGTTGGAGTTTCTAAGGAATCTCCTTAGAATACGTAAGAATACAAGTTAATAGAGCTCAGAACACTCTCTAAATGCAGTTACTGTTCTAAGAATTCTCAATACTAAACTATGGAATTCTTCAGTGATGGATGTT